TCGTCAGTTAGTAATAGCACATGTTTCCTCTGTACAGGGTGGGGAACTACAGTCAACATCTTGTAATAACCTTTACTGAAAAAGAATATGAAAACAAACATATGTATGTATATGCATGACTGGGACCCTGTGCTGTACACCAGAAACTGACACATTGTAACGGACTGTACTTCAATAAAAACAAAACAAAATAAAAAGAAAATGTATAAAAAAAAAGTAATAGAACATGTCCAGGTTACAGGATTTTTGCAAGCAGCTCACCATTCCATGCCACAAGAACCAGGGACAGAAAAACTGAAAGAAGTTTTGTGGAGCTGCCCTGCCTCGTTGTGGGTTGACAGAAAGGTCAGCAGAAGCCCTGAAAATCCTAGTCTTATGAAGGATTTTAAGACACATCTTGGAAACGGGTTAAACCACAACATGCAAACTTAGGTGTCACTACGAAAAATCAAACTCCTGACTATTGTTTCGAGGTTATGGAGTCTGGTCGTGGGAAGGGCCGTGTTTACTGTAACAGAACCCCAGGTCTCAGATGACATTTGATCATAATCCGTGCACAGTGCTACCCGAATGCCTGGATTGTTTTTGCAGTTGAGCTGAAATGCCCACGTCCGCGGTTTCAGCGTCAGCTGCCCACCCACGTGCGCTTTACAGATACACGCCCAGCGATCACTGCCTGGGCATCGCCACACACCACCTGTGGGCCCTGATTATAACAGCACCTGAGAGACAGCTCCTTCCAGGCCTCGCCCAAATCCCACCTCCTCAAGGTGGAACCGGTCAGCACCGAATGTTGCCTGCCCCTGAGTCATCAGCCACCCACCCCCACCCATGGTGCACCCCGAGGGAATTCAGGGAGGAGAAAAGCAGGATGCTGGCCCTAGATAGTTAAGATGTGTATCTAAGGGATGATTTCAATGAGCACAGACTCTTGCATCTCCTGATACACAGAAAAGCACTAAAATTATTAAGTTGAGATATCTGGATTGTTTCTTTTTTTATTTCTTATTTTTTTTATGACTTTGGGATTCATAGATACACATTACTGTATATAAAAACAGGTTAACAACAAGGATCTACTGTATAGCACAGGGACCTATATTCAGTTTCTTGTAAGGAAATGTCTGTTTTTTGAGGTTAGAGGTCATCTTTGATGTTTGACTTTTTCTTCCCCCCAGCAAAAACTCCTATATATCTTGACTTCTCCCTTCCCTCTCGGAACAGTTCCTCAGAGCTCTCTGAGAGGCTGACTCCGGGGCTGTAGTCCTTACTAAGGTCCCTGAATAAAACATAACTCATAACTTTGAGGCCGTGCATTTTCCTTCTGTTAACAGAGGCTTCCCAACAGCCCTATTGACCTAACACCGCATCCGCACCCTCCCCAGCAATCTAGAGCCGCCCCTCTGCTTTACTCTTTCTATGGTTTTCTATAGTTCTGTATACCTTTTGACTTAATATATCATTTTCTTTCTCATGCTTAAAAAAAAATTCTGGTACATACACCCAACATAAAATTTCACCCTTTTTAAGTGAACAGCCCAGCAGTGGCTTTAAGTACATTCACATTGTTGTGCAACCATCACTACCATCCAGCTCCATCTTGCAAAACTGAGACTCCATACCCATTAAACAACAATTCTCCATTCTCCCCTTCCTCCGGCCCCTGGCAAACATCCTTCTACTTTCTGTCTGTATGAATTTCCTACTCTAAGTACCTTATGTAAGTGGAATCATACAACATCTGTTCTTTTATTTCACTTAGCATAATGTCCTCCGGGTTCATCCATGTTGTAGACCGTGTGTCAGAATTTCCTTCCTCTTTAGGGCTGAATAGTATTTCACCGTGTGTCTATACCACACTGTAGGTATATTCCACACTAGTGTGTATATACTTATCCACTGATGTACATTTAGGTTGCTTCTACCCTTTGGCTCTTGTGAATACCACTGCTATGAACACAGGTGTTCAAGCCTTTCAGACTCTGCTTTTAATTCTTTTTTTGTTATAAATTTATTTTTATATTAAATTTCTTTTTTGTTATGAATTTATTTCTATATTAAATTATTTTTATTTTAAATTTATTTTTATTATTATTTTTAGGGGGAGGTAATTAGGTTTATTTATTTATTTTTAATGGAGGTACTGGGGGTTGAACCTAGGACCTCATGCATGCTAAGCATGTGCTCTACCACTTGAGCTATACCCTTTCCCCGCTCTTTGCATGTTATTAACTCACAGTTATTCCTCACAACTCTACAAAATGGGATCTCTTCTTTTTTCCTGTTGTACAGTTGAGGAAGGAGGTTAAGTTTCATGCCCAAGGTCACCCAGCCAGGAAACGCTGCACCCAGAACCCAGACCCAGGTAGTCTTCACTCCAGAGGACGTGCCCTGAACGTCTACACTATTCAGGAAATGCTTTCTGTTTCAACCTCATTTACTGAAAGACATTCTAAAATGCAGCAGTTAGTGTAAGTGAATAGAATTTTGATAATTCAGAACTGTCTGGGTCCTTTATCTCTTTCTGGATGTCAGTGAAAGAGAACGTTATTTTCCTGTGTTTTGATGAGTTTCATTTTTTTCTTCAAAGTGGAATATGTCAGTAAATATTAAATTGAAGACTTTGATTAGTCAAAGCTGCACTGAAGTAGATCCACTGTCATTAATATCAACAAGGCACCTCCACGATAAACACCATTAGGAAACAAGACAACTTTTTCTTCTTTGAAATTGTATTGATCTTGGAGACAAAGTAAGCTGGAAGGCAGAAGGCCCAAATCCTACTCTCCTCAAATTAAATGAATCACATACTTAAAAATAAACCACGATCCTTCTGGTACCAGTAGCGCCATCTGTAAACTGAGAAGACTAAAGGCCAACAACTTGATATTTCTGAATCAAAGTTAAAAAAAAAAAAAAGAATGTAATCACAAGCCTAAGACAAGGTGACTCTAGGTCCAAAAACTGTCACTTTTAAGATTTAAACTTATTTGGTGTCTAAGAGCGAATTATATAAGCTCACTATCAAGTCAGCATTCAAATAAGATGATTTTAAACTCCAAAGAGTGCAGGCTGAAGCCCCCAGCGGGCCTGCAGAGAACAAAAGACACAGTACCAGCCAGAAGCTATCCGGGCAAGTTGCACAGATCATCTGGTCTTGGGAAGAGACAAGCACTTGTTGTTACGAGAAAATTCAAGGTCAGGACAGCTTGCAGCTCCATTCCCACTGCCCCAGCGCTCCCTTCCACAAAGGACCATAGTATCCACTGAAAAGTTGCAATTACTCACCCCCTCCAGAGAATTCAACTACTTTGGATGTTCCCGAATAACCACAGCATACGTACGATGTTTTCTGGCTTATTTTTCTCATGACATCCCAAAAGATGGAGAAGGTAAAGAGTGATAGTAAACCAGGAGCGCTTTTTAGATAAACACTACTAGATAAAAGTACACCTCTAAGGGGAGACGGGTTCTAAATCGAACCCAAGTTTTAAAAACTACCTTTAAAGTACTTGGCCAGCCTAATGCTTTGTTTGACCTGTATGGTTCCCAGCCCCTTCACTTCCTCTGCCCCCAGCATCCAGTGGAGACTTCTGCAACAGAAAAGTACCTCTGCTGGTCCTTGCTGGTAAATCAGAGGATTCCAAAATGAGCTGTTTCTGGCAAAAAAAAAAAAAAAAAGACTTTTCTTTATTTATTTAGAATTGAAATTTTCATTTTAATTAATTTTTCTTTTTAATGAATTAATTGGGGAGGTAATTAGGTTTGTTTATTTATTTTTAATGGAGGTACTGGGGATTGAACCCAGGGCCGTGCACATGCTAAGCACACAGCCTGATCTTAACCACGGCGACAGCAGCCTCTCAGTCCTCCTGGAGACAGCCTGGCCTAGAGCAGCCCGTGTGGCTCCTGCCTGCCCAGCTCATCAGGCCATAAAGATTTCTGGTGACTATAGACCAGCCCAAGCCGTTCCTCACAGCCCTGTACGTTACCTCTAATGTGGTCAAGAATACTTAGGACATCTTCTCGCAAGAAAGTCCTGTCACCTCCTAGGCTTATCTTAATATCCTTCAAATGTCTTCGAAAGGGAAGAGCACCGTCAGTCGGCTGAGAGTGAGTTAACTGTAACTAGGCGCTAAGTTTCTCGCTCTCGCATCTCATTAAACTACGGGAATCTAAATTCGGCTTCATACAACTGCTATCCCAGAGCAGGAACTCCTGAAGGCCAGGCTTTGAGCTTCCACTTCCTTCATATTCCCCTTAGGCATCCAACATTCCGATTCGCCCAGGAAAAGAATGATTTTAATTAGTCTCACTGACTCACCAACCAAACTACAGACCCAATCTACAAACCTGCTATGGGCTGAAAAGGAAGGGATCATGACCTCCAACTCCTCCATGAACCATCAATGTTGGAAACATTTCCCCCATCACCTGCTTTCCAGAAAGGGTTTTGCGTTCTCGAGTGGTAACATTTCCTCTCCCTTTGATCTGATGCTTGGTGAAAGAAGAGAGATGGTCCCTAGCTGGAAGGGACCTAGTGTGACCGCGGGCAGAAGGGCTTAAGGGATTTCAGCCTGGAAAGGGCTTTAAAGACCACTTTCTTAGGAAAGGGCAAGGAGGCATCAATCTATGCAACCCCGTTGGTAAAGGCTTCCTGGGGCCCTGCGCTGAGAGGCATTCCAGGCCCCTGTGAGCTCCAGGGATGATGCTGGGATCAATTAACAAGTCTGCCACCACTGTGGAGGGGCCCTTCCACAAAGCCACGTATTCTGCCATCCCTGAGCTGATTCTCCTATGAAGAGTTAGCGACTTGCAGAGTCTTCCTTAATTTCATTTTTTAAAAAGTCAAAGTCACACCACTCATAAAAAACTCTTTCAAAGGATTTGCAACAACAAAGGTTTAAAGAAAACAGATGTTCCCTGAAAGACACCGGCTGAGGTCTTCACTGGCATTCCCAGAAGGAGCCCAAGGTGGAATGCCTAGGCGTGTCCTCAACCTGCACCCTGACAAGGACCACCACTTAGTGCTTCACAGGTGAGATGGATAAAGGCTGGGTAACCTCCCGTGGTCACGTGGCTTCTGTGATGCCTGGGGAAGGGAAGGGAAGGGAAAGAAACTGAGGTTTGAGAATCACTTAAATGCCAATGATCCCAAAGACAAAGGAAAGTATTAAACAGAAAAGCCAAGGTGTGCTCATTTTGGTAGGAAAAGGGAAGAATTAATTTCATGAACTAGCAAAGCTCTTGATTAATCCAACAACAGTTTTCACGTGTTTTCTGCTCTGTTCTTAACACCAGTGGACCAAGTGGGTGCACACCAAGCGAATGACATGGTTCCTTTCCCAGCCAGCTTATATAATCTCTCTCCTTCTCCCTGGAGGTAGGTTTGGACGTCAGGGGCCAGGTCAGACCTCTTGAGAGACAGCTGGCCTCCCAACACCTACTCGGTGTTGTCAGCCAACTGCTCCCAGGTGAAGAGAACGCTTTTGGCAGCCACCGAGCACACAGCAGGCAAGAGGCCTGAAGAAAAGGCAAGGGAGAGGAGGCAGGCATGTGATTCTAGAGACAAATAAACACAATTAGCTGTGCTAGAAACAAACTGAAAAGACTCAGTGGGAAGACTAGGGTTCCTTCTGCCAAGAGAGAAAACCAAAGGAAAATTCATTTTAAAAGAAACCTTTCCCTGCCCTCGGCAGCCAGAGGACAATGACAGACAGAGCTTCTGTGAAGTCCTTTTCATTGTGGGTTTCTCTGCCATTTCAAACACTAGCACAATAAGGGTTTGACTGCTTTATCGGTTTTGCTGCCCAAATAGAATCCATTAATATTTCAGGCTGGTCCTTTCATTCCTGGAGATGACGATTCTAAGACTTTCAAAGCCATTCTGTCCCCGTGGACCTAAATAGACACTGTGCACAGCCATGGTCGGCTGGTTGAAGTCACAGAAATCAATAGTGCTGCCCCTGGGAGCTTGCTCTTCTGCTTCCTGGATCCGGTTCCACAGAGGAGGATTAGCCACAGCTGAGAGATCTAGCGGCTGCCTTCCTAGGATGCGATGGTTAATGGCACAGGCTCGGGTTTGAATCCCGACTCTGCCCTGGATGGCCTTGGGCAGGTGACTTCACCCCCTTGTGTCTCACTGTCCTCATTTATAAGGGAAGGGTATTGTGCTGCCTGACTGGGAGGGCTGTCACGACCCTGAAAGAATTCCGATAGAAGAGCCTTCATCTTTTATTTACTTATCTTTTTAAATGGAGGTACTGGGGATTGAACCCAGGACCTCACTCATGCTAAGCACATGCTCTGCCACTGAGCTATCTCCCTCTGAGCCTTCAACTTTTAGAACTACATTCTGAAAGGCTCACAAATCACGGTATGATGTCTGCTTCAAAATCGTCTGGAGGTCAGAGGTATGTACAAAGAAGTTGGCCGTGAGGTGGTCACTGTTGAAGCTGGGGGATGGGTGCGTGGAGGTTTATTATTACCGTTCTGTCCAGCTCTGTCTGTCTGAAATGTTCTGCTGTAGAAAGTTTGAGAGCAAGGATAAGGCAGGTGAAACCACTAGTACACAGCAGGTGCTCAGTTAATGCAGTCAGTCACTGATCAGAGAGGGTCTTGATGGCATTGTTTCAAGATCCAGGAGGCACCTTTGTAGCAGCTAGAGACATGGGTGGGTTCTGGGGCAGCAGCTGGCCCAGTCTTAGGCACATATTAAGTAGTCAAAAAATCCCTGTAGGGGGATGGACAGATTTCCTATTTGAACCCCCCTTCTGCCGCTCTGGCATGATTCCATGTGCACCCCAAGAACATGTATTTCCTTTTCCTCCTGCTTCCTCCCAAGCACTCCCCTGGCAGAGTGACTCTCCAACTGCAAAGATCTAAAATATTAACATTCCAGATGAGACGGAAAATAGTTAGGGACCCTGCAAGTTGACACCGGCAACTCAGAAGGTGGCATTGCTTTCTGGGATATAAGCTATAAATGACAAGTCATCATCTAGGGTGTTTTAAAGAGAGAGGAAAAAAAAAAAAAAGAAAAGCCGTGCAGCCCAAGAACACCTGCAGCACTTCAGGAATTAACCTGAACCTCTTTACCACGCTGACACTTGATGACTCCGTTTCTATCTGCCTGCAGCGCTGCCCAGTTTCAATGAAATTCTTGGCACTTTGCCTGAACCTGTCTGTGTGACATTCTAGCACTGCAGCCAACGCCAGCCCCAGCGTCAGTACGTGCCTGCAACGGATGTCACTTTCTAAAGTGCTCAGCGTTCCTAGCAACTCAAGAGACAGTATGAATACCTTTGTCTTGCTAAAGGGCAGGAACAGAAAAGCTAAATGGGACTCTTGGAATGAATTCTTTGGACAGAATTAAATACACCATGGAGAATACAAAGTTTCTAATTCAAGAGCCACTACACTCAACGTTGATTTGACATCATGCTCCTTTTTCTTCCGTATTTTATACAACCGATTTGACTAAAACGAAAGTGAGAAGATAGTTTTCACCAACATAGTTCCGTTTTTCACAAAAGTATGAGCTATAGACAATACTCAGGAGAGTATGGGTGCTTTAATTCCAGCTTCCACTGGTTTGGGGAAGGGTAGCCCTCCTCCAGTGTCCAGACTGTAGAATTATTTTGAACCTCTTGGGTAATTCTCCGAAGAGCAGGTGGTAAGAACAGAGCAAATACATAGTTCCAAGCTTCTGGGGGAAGGCAACAAACTCTCTATTCCTTAACAGGGAATTTTTTTTTCTTCTTTGCTTTTCTTAATCTTGGACTACATCACCCTTGGCAGATAAATGTCACTGACTCAGGACCAACAAAAAAAATCCTCTTAAATCAATAACCCTAGCTCTGATCTCCTTCAGGAACCAGCTCAGCCCAGAAGAGGGGACAGCTTGGTTCTTCTCTGGGTGTCACGAAATCTTGACATCTCCCATTACCTCTATTATATATAACATTCATCCTAATTATCATTATTCATTCATTCATTCAACATCTCTGCTATAGAATGGGGTCCTCCTCACAGAAGAGAATAGGGATAGTTTATCAGCTACTTAGACGGGCTTAGAATCTTGTACCCTCCCAGACACGCCCAGGACAAAAGGCTTCACTAAGCCCCAGGCTGAACTCAACTGGATCATCCAGCCCAGGTGACTTCCAGTGCAGGGCAGGCCTCCATATTTATGTTCTGAATGTCATGTGGGATAGCGTGAAGTCTTATTCTGCCACTTTGAGCTCCTGAGTAAAACCTACCAGGACTTCCCATTCACACGTGACCTGAGCTCTGCTTCAGCCCTGAGGAATCCCTTCCCCACCTACCTCTGAAGCGGAGCAGCCTCCCTACTAACTCTCCTCCAATCTGTAACCTCCACAAGGGCGGGGACTGCACAGTCTATCTCTACCCCGTGTTTAGCACAGACCCTGATGCTGGTAAGCCCTTAATATTGATGAATGAGTGAATGAATAACTGAATGAACACACAAGATATCCTCTGCTTCCCAGACCACTGAGAAGTCCATCACACCTCATTCCACAGGGTTGGTCTTCAGGTGCCTTCTCAGCCGGGGCTACCCAGCCACCCATGAATTTCAGCAATTCATGGCACTAAATATCCCAAACAGCCTGGATAGGGTTCCATAAAGTAGGTCTGGGCAGCAGAGCAGACGTTCCTCCCTTAATCACTGGTGGGGGAAGGTTCTCACCACACACACAGGAAAGTTGAGGGGACCTACCAGTACTAGGGCGTTATGGACTGAATGTGTTGTTCCCTCCACCCCCCAGTTCTTATGTTGATGTCCTGACCTCCAAAGTGGTAGTGTTTGGATGTGGGACCCTGGGGAAGTAATTAGGTTTAGATGTGGTCATTGGAGAAGGGGGTCCCCATCATGGGATTAATGCCCTTACAAGAAGAGGAAGAGAGAGAGAGAGAGAGAGGGTGATCTCTCTCTGTTCCTCTCTGTTTCTGCCACAAAAGGACATGGCACACAGCAAGAAGGCGGACATCCTCAAACTAGGAAGAGGGCCTCTCCAGGAACTGAAACTATCAGCACCTTGATCTTGGACTTCCTCGTCTCCAGAAACTTGAGAAATAGATCTCCGTTGTTGAAGCCCCCCGGTTTATGGTATTTTGTCATGGCAGCCCGAGCAGGCTAAGACTCCCTGCTACTTCAACTGCCGCTAGAGACAGGTGTCTAGAGGCTGCAGAAATCCATCAAACTAGTACTGGAGCAACAGAAAGGACAAATAAAGAATCTGGCCTAATGTCGGAGCCCAGCTCTGCTCCTTGGGCAAGACACCACCTCTCTGTTCCTCACTTTGCTCATCTGTGAAATGGGGCCGATAACAGTATCCATCTCAGAGGGTTGTGCTGAGACGTAAATGAGGTGATGTAAATACAGGTGACATTTAAACAACAACGGTGTGAACTGCATGGGTCCACTTCTACGCAGACATTTTTCCATAAGTACATACTACAGTACTACACAATCCGCGGTCAGCTGAATTTTTTCAGTAAATACAGGGTGCAGAATGACATGATTGCGGCTGGTTGAATTCTTTCAATAAATACATAATACAGTATTACATGATTGCAGTTGGTTGAATTTTTTCAATAAATACATACTATAGTTCTACACAATCCGCAGCTCTTTGAATCTGAGGATGTGGAATCGAGGGCCCACTGAAGTTATACACAGATTTTCGACAGCGCAGAGGTTGGTGCCCTTAACCCCCAAGTTGCTCAAGGATCAGCTGTACGTTTCCTGACACCAGGAGGTGCTCAGTCAGTAGTTACTATTTTGAGGATGCTGAAGCCTCATCCCGCTCATGCTCCAGCTGCATCCGAAGGGACAGAAAGACGTGGTGGGCGGGGCCCCGTAGCAGTCATCAGAAGCCCTGTGTTTGAGTCCCTGTTTTTGCCATGTTCTCACTGTGACTTTGACAAATTTCTTATCCTCTCCAGCTCTAAGTTTCCTTCATCTGTTAAAAAAAGTCAACATGGTAATATCTGCTCTCCATACCTCATCAGGGCACTGCAAAAATCGTATTTGACGAGGTACATAAAACTGCTTTGAAAACTGCCCAG